GTGGTTTTGCACTTGTTTGTTTATGAATTGAGTAGCTTGGATAAATATTTTTTACTATCAGAACAGTACGCTAGATTTTATATAATTATACAATATCCGATCATGTCATTTCTTCATTCAGTACGTTTAAAAGATATTCGCGCCTTTTCAAACAAGATTCATGCTAAGATATTATGTACTTATTGACTGAGTGGGAAAATATTTGGCTCGGTCAGTACAAAAGACCGAGAGCCAAATATTTTACCGTACGGACCGACCTAACACAGTCAATAAGCATTTTATCATATGACAGCGTTTTTTAATGTACAAACAAGTAATAACAAAAGCGCGCTGAACTTCAAGCTGAGAAGATGCGGGTTTGTAGCGAAAAGGCGTACGGCCCCCATCACGTGATCATTTCCCGGAGGTTTTGTATAATTTTCTACACTAGCGAAACACTGCGAAACACGGTTTTCTTGGCTTTGAAAGCTTAGCATCTGTAACATGGCAAACAGTCAAAGGTRAGCCAGGAACATTACTGCATAGTGCATTTCRAAGGCCTTTCGATATAGTTACTACCGAACTTCTATGACATTTTTAGCAGCAAACGATGTGGAAGTCCTATCGCAACCCACGTGGCAAAGTTATCATTGCTATTTTATATATTTRTTTCATGGGTTACTTTCAGTCAATCAGAAACTTTACTTATAGCACATGTCATCATAGTAGTTTCAGTTTCTCTGTTTCGATTCAATTCTGATCCGAAATCCGATGATCTATTTTACAGTTGTATTGTGAGTATTGTGAATCTCCCTAAAGATGACTCAATTCTTTATCTAAATATTGTAGATTCGTGAAAATATAGCAAATATAGCAAAAAATAGCAAATATTTTTCATGTATTTTWTACATTTGTAATATTAATACCTTATGTCCTTATTCTTTGTTTTGGACTTTCTGGCAAGCATGTTATTCTAGAAGTGTTGTTAAAATATTTTTTTTCTGGCCAACATTCCTTTACTTTGCATATTGGAAACGTAAAAGATGTGTCACGTCAGAAAAATATTTTTTCCGACCTTTAAATTTCCCAAGCTTGATACTTCTCTCATGGAAAGAGGGATAGTAAAGCTTTCCATCTATGTAAATTCTATATTCAAAATACATATACCAAGAGTAGTTTTGACTGCCTGAACATAGGCCTTGTTTACATGTATTAATGTGAGGTTAAAAATTAGTCGAAGAAAATGCTTCAAAACAAAGCAAATTCTTATCTAAAAGAAAATATTTTTAGTGGTTTGGAAAGCTATTGATATGCTTATCAAACGAGTAGAATATCAAGTTTGTCTCGATTTGTGTTCGAGTACAGGA